TTTTCTGCCTACTACCAACTGGCAACTGAAGACATGAAAAATATATCTCTTTAAGGGTATGAGTTTTAAGAAACCAGCAAGGCCAAATAAAAATGCAGTTCGTAGCAAATCTGCATCTTTTATTTATAAAATTTGGATTGATACTACAGAAACATTTGTTTGTAAAAAAGCAGTCTGTTCTCTGTTTCAAATTGGCAAAAAAAGATAGAAAACTTACAACGAGAACTAAAGGACGGACTGCAAATTCCTAGTGTTTGCAAAAGAGGGAAGCATGAAAATAGGCCACAGAAAATTGCAGAAGACGTAAAATTATATATTATGGATCATATTAGCTCGTTTCCTGCTACCCAGTCACATTACTCCAGAAACAAAAACCCGAATAAACAATATCTTGCCTGTACATTAAATATATCAAAAATGTACAAACTATATCTTGAAAAATGCACTGAGGAAAATAAACAGTCTCGTTTTCAAGTAAAATATTGTACCTATAGCAACATATTCTCTAAACAATTTAATTTATCATTTGGTGAACTTCGCAGTGACACTTGTAGTACTTGCGACAGTGGAAACGCTAATGAGCAACATAAGGAAAATTACGAGGCAGCTTTTTCTGTACAACGTGCAGATCGTGAGTATGCAAAAAACGAAGATGGAGTATGTTATCTAACTATGGATATGCAACAAACACTTCCCCTTCCTAAATTAACAACTAGTAAGGCTTTTTATCTTCGTCAGATGTGGATGTATAATTTAGGGATACATTCAATTACAAAACTTTCAGAAAAGGCTAACTTTTTTACATGGACTGAGGACATGGCTCTTAGAGGAAGCTCTGAAGTATGTAGTTCGTTACTAACCATGTTAGAGTACAATAATATTTTTCAAGATAATGCTATATCTCATCTGATAATATGGACCGACTCTTGCGCAGGTCAAAATAAAAACTTCTTGATCATATGTCTCTATCAGTACCTTATACTAAAAGGAATTGTAAAAACTATTGACCATAAATTTCCTGAGGTTGGACATAGTTTTTTAGACTCCGACAGAGATTTCGGACGTATCGAAAAAGTATTACGTCGACATGAAAATATATTTTTACCTGAGGAATATAGAACCATAATTACCCAAGCAAGTAAAATGAATCATGTTACAGACATGCGTATTCACTTTCGAAAATTTGACGATTTGGCACGGAATTTAAATTTACTTAATCGCAAGAAAAATACTTTAAATGAAACTGTCCCATTTCGAGATGGAATAAAATGGATTCGTGTTTGTAATTATGGATCCTATTTATATAAAGAGAGCTATGATTCAAACACGCCTTTTAAAGAGGTAAATATAATTAGGAACTCGCGTCAGACCCAACCAGTTGATTGCGAGATTGAAAGAATTAGGGAAAAAACTGGCCGGTTATCAACTAAAAAAGTGGCAAATCTCAAGAGTCAGCTTCAATTTGTCAAGCAACCGTATAAATGGTATTATAATGCGATTATTACCGAAAATGAACAGAATAATAACTAATAAATTAAATTTTTTTTAAAAAAGAGAAATCACATGATTTCTACCTGGCGAAATCGAATTCAAATATAGGCCGCCGTGCTCCCTAAGACTTGCGAAGCAAACAGCTTGATGAATGCATCGGCAAGGGAGTCTAAAAATTGCACTCCAAAAGCCGTCCATCATGGCCTACATTCGTAGTGAATTCGATTTCTGGTACTCCAAATTAAGTAAATAAACAAAACAAATGACGGTATTATATTTTGATTTGATACAGAGCAGCAACAAGCCGCATATACGTATTTCCATCTCTTTAAATCTCCTCAATACGGTATAGTTACTACTCCATGGAGTAGTAACTATACCGTATTGAGGAGATCTAAAGAGATCGAAATACGTATAATATAGCAACAAGCCGCATATTATGCGGCTTGTTGCTGCTCTGTATCAAATCAAAATATAATACCGTCATTTGTTTTTTTTTTTCTTAAATTTTTTTTATTGAAAACATGTTACCACTGGGCGTTTTAAACAGAAAATTATTTGTTTTACAAATAGAATTAACTTTTTTTTAATAAAATGTATGTATTCAGCTCGTTTATTTTATTTTACCTTGACTTAACCCCTTTAAAAGAAAACTAGTATCTAGTTATAGTAAAAAAATTTCAGTGGATAAAGGAGGTAAGTGTAGTTTTTTCAAAATTTTGGGTTTTTAAAACAAAAAACGAATTAACAAAGTTGCACACGTAAAATGTACCATTAATATCTACTCACCGAAAACATTTAAAATAAAACGCACAATTACATAATGCAACTTCAACATGTTTAAAAATTAAAACTTTAATCTGCTTTTTCTCCATTGTATAATTTTGTTAGTTACCTCCTTTATCCACTCGAGTCTTCTTCACACACAAATTGTTTATGTCGAGGATTTACATCTGCACATTCAATGTGACACCAATTCTTACACACTTGACAACGAATCCATTTTTCATTGGATCGTGAATGCGAAAATAGTTCGTTACAGTAGATGCAAGCTGCATCGTCCGAGTCGCCTTCTACAAAAGAGCATTCACAATCGTCTTCAGAACCACTTGTCGTTGAAACACGAACTTGCCTTTTCACCTTTCTGGCGTCCTGTTTCCTTTTTTTTGCTTCTTTGTCGGCAATTTTTTGTTTTATATCTTCAATTTCTGGCGTTGAATTTAAATATCCTGTTTAACCCCGTTTTCTACCCCTTTTCTGCATTACTTGAGATACTCCAGCTAAAGGAAAAGGACAAATATCTTCTACCGAGATGTTTAGAACTGACGATGATGTTGATTTGTGATCAGTGGGGCTTTTTGATAAACTTTCAATCGAAGAAACATTTTGGCTCCAATGTTCCGGTAATGACTTCTGGTCAGAACATTCTGGCAGTGGGTTTTGTTCAGAATTTTCTCTATCTGTTGTTATAGACGGCAAAAATTGCCAATCCTCGAAGACATCTGGACTGAATGGTTGTATTCCTGTCTTTTTAAATGCATTGATTGCATTTGATGGTAAAGCACTTTTTAAATACGCTCTATTTGTCTGTCGCAGCCATAATTGAATTTCTTGGCCGTAGTAAATTTGAAGTGGTCTAAAAAAATCCTACGTCCAAGGGTTGAACGTGATGAGAACAGTGAGCAGGAAAACAAAACATAATAATACCGTTTTCCTTTGCAAACTGGAGAGCTTCAAAACTTTTGTGACTTCCATGGCCATCGAGTAACAACAAAACTTTGTTGGTTTTAGAAGCCTTTGTATACCTTAAAAAATGTTGCAGTCACAAATAGAAAATATCGGAAGTCATCCATCCTTTTTCTTGACGAAGGCTATACTTCCAGTAGGTGCATCGATCATAAGTTCATCTTTCTTTCTCCGTCGAGGAAAAATCAAAGCAGGAGGAACATATGTTCCAATTGCATTCATTGCACATACGACCGTAACATGTAGACCTCGCTCTGCACTACTTAAAGCACCAACTTGCTTGCGATCTTTACTAGCATACATTTTCTGCGATTTCTTCTGCACAGTTGTCAAACCGGACTCGTCCATATTGTAAATGTTTTCCGGTGGAAAGTGAAACTCGTCTAATATATTTGCTAATGCAGTAAAATAGACACATATATTTGGTTTATTAAAAGCTTGAGCCCTTGCCAACGAAGAATTTTCTGGAGTGCGTAATAATATTCGAGGATTTCGCTTTAAAAAGCCTCTGAACCCATTTCCAGCCTGCCATCCTGGTTTCTTTATTAAAATTGTGGCTAATATTGTTTCTTTCAGCTACTTCGTATACAAGTTTTTCGCAAATCTTTACTAGTCAGGCCAAAAAAAAACGAGTTTTCATAGTAATAATATGGTCAGCAACTTCATGTTCAATAGTAGTGGAGAATATTGGTCTTCTTCCTCCCAAATCACCTTTGATACTTCCTTGATGCTTAATAAAGCGCCTTTTCAAAGTCGTTTTTGGAACGTTAAATATTTTTGCTGCCAGCTTAAACCCCATAGTTTTTTCTTGTATGCTTTTTAAAGCTTGTTGCATATTACTATCGTTCCACTGTTGCCTTTTTTGTAGAGCCATCCCTGTAAAACATATTATGTTAATCATTAAGTAACAAAAACTGAAGGTGTGTTCCAATTTTATTTTCTTTTTCCTATGATGGACCCCTAGTCCGTCATAGGTAACGACACAGGGGTCCATCATAGGCAAATAGACAAGGCAGCAAATTTAATTCTGTTACTTTTGTTTTGACCATTTTAACCTAAAACAAAGTATAGTATTTGACAAAGAAAGTGTAGTCATTTTTTACAAAACAAAAGGAACACTTAGCTCAACGTATGTTACCAGTAAAATGCTACTTACCAAAAAAAATTATTAGATCAGCAACGCCAAATTTTAATTTTATTTCACAAATTTACTGTTATAACAGCGACGTGTCTGAAACTTTGCAAATACTAAACTACAAACTTCGTGCGCAAGCGGCAACCGGCGATGTGTATGTAACCGCGCGCTATTTAAAATTACAGCCGGGGGTCCGTCATAGACAATAGACAGGGGTCCAACATAGGCACACTTCCCCTACCTAAAGTAGTCATTTTAGAGCGATCCCACTCAGGAAGAAGCTTGAAACTTAAAAAGATTATGTAAAATAATAGACACTTTCATATTTTCATTTACGAAGCCCTTAATTAGCGGCTAATCCACTAAAAAATTGTATTTGGTTGTACATTGGCTCAACCTTTAGTTTTTATTTCTTGTATTTTGATATAATTAAATAACCCTTATTTTGAGTATTTGGTGAAAGAGAACTTTATGATAAATTCTACTTTTTTGGATTATGCTTATTATGTTAAGTATTAAAATTAATGGTATTTTATATACAATATCTAACAAAGAGAACGACGTTTTAGGTTCTTTTTAATTACGATTTAAATTATGATTTATTTTAATAAGACATCACTTTTTTTAGATATCCAATAAACAATATGACATGGTTATGGTTTTTATTAAATATAAACCACACGTTCCAACTGACGATAATTTATTAAATAATATTCAAAGTACAACTTTTTCTGGATCTCCAACATTGGCACTATTTCAGAGCTTAAGTATTTATTCTCCTTTATTATTGCAGGTAAGTTCCAATCTCGGTAATAATTTGGACTAGTGACTAACAATAACTAATTTAGTAAAATCACAAATACACATGAAAACTAAACTAATGAGATAAACTCTTATAATGAGCACTGTATTAATACTACACATGAACTTATCAATAATAAATTATGAACAAGTGTAATATATACAGATTGAACGAAATAAATTCGGAACGTATGAAATATTATGTATTTCGGCTCAATTCTGCTGTAGGTGGTTGGCCAACAAAGGGTTGTCAAATAATTATATTATAAAAATCCAATACTTCAGCGGGCTGCTGGATTCTGAACTAATTCAAGAACTCATTCATAGGTGGTCAAACATCGAGCAAAAAGACAAAAGAGGGAATGTAAAGGTGGTGGGGGCAAAAATATTGTTAGATAGGAAGTGCGATCTTTAGAGGCCACATTAAACAAGGAAAGAGAGTCTATCTCCTTGTTTGACATCAAATTTAGTTGGGTTATGTTATTGTTTGTCCCAAATGTCACATGAAATCTTATTTATATTGAAGTTTCTTAACAATTGTGTCGCATTTTAGACTATTACCGTTAATAATTAATTAAAACTTTCTCGTCTAAGTGAGAGCGCCCACCAAACTGGCGTGGCAAGTAGCACTTAGCAAGTAGCACGCGTCTAGCATGTTTCATAAAATGTAACCAATGGAAACGAATGATTAGAATTAATGAATAAAAATGATGTCACTGTTATTTTGGTGTGAGCTGAATCATTCGTTTTCATTGGTTACATTTTAAGAAACATGCTAGACGCGTGCTACTTGCTACTTGCTACTTGTCACACCAGTTTGGTGGGCGCTCTCCCTAAGACACATTCTGAAAAATACTATATAGCTACTGTTAATTAATAAGTGTACATTCCGGATATGTCCGCCATCAGAGGCCACTTTTTGGGTCTCCTTTTCATAAGGATTAGATTCCCTCTTTTGTCTTTTTGCTCGATATTGTCAAACCACCTGTCGCTTCCTAAAGCCGGCCACTCACTGTACAGCGGTGTCGTTCGACATAATCGGACAGAGGCGTTGTTCAATTTGTTGGTATATCTGTTGCGCCCATACAGCATACTGCGCCGCAGTATTTGTTCGGTTCTTGACCACGTCAAATCAAACAATCATTTTAGCATCTCTTACTTTGTGTATAACTAAGCGTAAAAAGAAACCTAAAATAAAACATAGATTCTGGTGCAAAGTATCCAAGATTTTGGTGCAAATCTCGTCTGCCTGAACAATTCCCCTTCGTGGACTCAGTGGAGGTGTTCGTTCAGTTGTAATGGAAACACCAAATAATAGTAGCAGAGTTTATTGATGAGACTTACATTATGGGTGTTGACCCGGGATTACCTTGAGTAGAGACTGTTGCAGTTGATCGCTGAAGACTAGATTGAATGCTTCTCTATGCATGAGATATTAGTTTTATTTAAGTTTTATTTGGGTCAATATATTCGCGGGCCTCGTGTGATATGTGTGTCTAATTTATGTAAATTGTTTAACTTTGTCAGCACTTTTGACTGATGTCCAAATTATATTGTTGATAATTGACCAAATCCGTATGTAACCTAATTAACTACGTGTGTGTATTTAATAACAAATAAATTCATTTGGTCTACTGGGTGATAAAATTTTACTGTCCAATTTCGGATATGAATTCTGAAGATTTCATATTGGACACTGCCCCTGCACCCGATTTACTGAACTGCACTGCTAATTTTAATTCTCTTTTAAAGAATGTTCTAAAATTGTTAATTTTTTTTTCTTACATACTCTTTATTCGCATCTTTGTTTACTTCTTGGAACTTTAAAACTAGAATGTCCATTGCCTGTTTTTGGGCGTTTCTATGGTGATACGTTTTACCTTTTATTCGCTATAAGCATTCTTGTTTTTTATAGAATTTAAAAAACTCTCTTAAAAAATTCTCGCTAAATCAAGCCATTTCGATTTTCTATAATATGATCAAAGCAAGTGTTGTAGCTAAAAAACGAAGTTGAACAACACCTTGCCTTTGGGCAAGCCCCTCTTTCGTTCATCGGAGATGGAGATTTTGAGCGGTATTGCCAATATCAATCCACTAGATGTTTCTAAAATAACTACAAACCATTAAGTTTATTTTTTTTTATTAGTCTGTTGTGGTAGATTGGTAAATACAATGAAAAATATAGGCAAATATCCGATTTATTTAAAGATACGGAGAAGATATAGCTCTCAAAAAGATACGCAAATCGGATTATTATACGGCAATTGGCAACATTGACTTTGAGCTGCGCTCTAGACTATGGTGCGTTCTAAAAGGAGACGGATAGTTAAACGATATTTTATAATACAATGTCTAACACCGAGTATGGATTTATTTTTGTCCAAGTTTATATTGGTCCACTATTTCAAATGCACTTCAAAAAGACATGTATTAAATTGTATGATCCGTTTTAAATTCGTTCAATCTGTATATATAATATATATATATATATATATATATATATATATATATATATATATATATATATATATATATATATATATATATATATATATATTAGTAATTTTCTTGAGCTTATTTTACAAAGCAAAGTTTATCAAAACAGGGTTTAATATAAAAGCTAGTTTCAGTTCTTTTTCTGTAATTAGCTGCGATCTTTGGTCTTGAAAGCAGCCACAGCGGACAATTGTGTTTTGCAGAGGTAGGATGTTGAAAAAGGTAATAGTATACAAAACGATCTGGTTTTCAATACAAAAGACTCAGCATTTATCCCTGACCAAAATTCAATGAGGAAATTATTATTAAATTGTCTGTTGATTTGGGCATTTGCGGTGAAGTCAATAACGCTGAACATCTAAAGCCTTAACTTGTCTCGAAGGCCAGGCGGGTTGAGACGCACCTGGTCTACGTGAGGTATTTTAATTCCCTCCCAACCGCCGATAAACCGGGTCGAGAATTCCCTTATCCGCCGCTTGGTAATAAGATTTCTAGGAGTAACAGGTTTTCCCCTAGTTAAAAATAGTGACCGCGTAACCAAAGATCTTATTATCTCCATTAATATACAAATTTTGCAGCGTCTATCAACCTTTTTTTAGTTTATTATTTTGTAACAGGTAGCTCTTTTGGGACGACAGACTCAGTAAAACACAGGTTGAAACAAAAATATATCTATTAATTTAATGTATGTACAATACAATAAAAATAAAATAAATTCTCCGTTGTATAAAATAAAAATAAAATGAATTTTACGTCCCCGTCCGGATCCCGCGATGAAGGAATTCCTCGGCGAAGGTCTATAAAAGAAGAAAAGAGTTATTATTTATAAAATATGTGAATTCGATCGCACGCAGATTTATACTCGCTTCCGCTTCAATACAGCGGAAGCTCCAATCACACTCGCAAACAAAAATATTCGGCTGTGCAGGCCCACGGCAAGGTTCAGTACACAATGCCGATGAGTTCCGCTTAGTTAAGAACAGAGTATGATCCTCAATGCGGAAATCTCTCCGTCCGGGTTGTCTCGCAGGTTCAATACACTTGCGAGTCGGGGAGCCTAGAGCGCTAGCTGCAAGACCGACTAATTCCGCTACTCACATGCCTTAAATAGCCGCTCCAAATCCCACTCACTTCGCCATCTCGCTGAGGAAGTGGATGCGCAAACATGACACTCCCACGGTTCAAACTGTTCAACGATGAGAACATCGTTACACCCCCTTCTCTTTAGAAAAAAAGTAACATACCTCTTTTTTTTTGTATATGGCGTCTACAACCTTGTTATGCCAACTATCCCTCTCGGTATCTATATTACAATCTTCCTCCCGTTGTTACAGCATAATCTGTATCTTCTGGTCCCCCTCTCGATTAGGTATTGTGGGACGACCTCTACAAGATCGGCGTGTTTCCCGCAGTAGCTATCTAGAGAGTCCTTGTATGTCTGAGCTATTCTATCCCCGACGTAATTTTTAGTGGTTCCTGTGTCGACGAGCGCTCTGTATGTTCTTTGCCCTATTTTCAGTGATGCAAACAGTCGAATGTCATTGCTTGTTGGCTGTGTAACGGCGAAAACGAATGGAGTCGAATCTTGCTTCACAGACTGGGTCGGCTCCTTGATTCTCCAGTCTGTAATTCGTTTCCCTGACGCCTGAAACAGCAGTCGCTGCTGTAAATCCCTTCTCTGATGCAACGCGAACAAAACTTTTTCCATGGGTTTTTGCAGTTTTTACGACTGTGACATGGCATCTTGCATCTAAAGCATGTCGTTTTATCATCGTACTCTGTTTGGTCCGTACGTCTTCAGCTTCCACGGCAAATCTGATTTGATCGGGTCTTTTCGTCTTCTAAAGCTTCGTATTCTTGGGCTAAATCTTGTAATTCGGCTAACTTTTCAAAATCCCGGAGGCGAGCATAAAGCTTATATTTTGGTAACAAATTTTTGTATATCCTTTCGAGTTCTTGGTTTCTGGAAAAAGATCCTTCTCGTCTGATTAATGTTTAAATCTCCGTGATATATCTATCTACTGGTTCGTTTTGTTTCTGTTTTCTGTTTCGAATTTGCTCCTCTGGTTGTAGCAAATATCCCCTGGGGCAGAAAGCTTTTTTAAAATCTTCGCTAAAATCTGTCCATGACGTCCAATTTTTGTTATTGTTTCTGTACCATAACAAGGCGTGGTCTCCTAATAATTCTGGTAATGCTCTTAGTTCATCTTGTTTATCGATCTCGTAGGTTACAATTTTTGGTTGAATCTCAGCGTTGATTTTATTTAAGTTATGGTTCCCCAACAATTATTAGGTTTGTTCTAGCAAAAAGACAAACTAGTCAGAAACCGTCAGCAAACAGTTGGTCAGCGAGAGAAAACAATACAGTCACCAGTGCTATATCCCCTCTACTCGCACTGGTCCACTATTCGCTGATGGTTTCAAACCATTTGAAACTGATGCTAGAACAAACCTAATATTTTCTTAAACGATCTTGACATCTACACGTTTATCGTAAAACCCGTATATCTGTTTTGATGAAACGATATCTGTCTATCATCAGAAAGTATAAATCAACATAAATAAACAATTTCAAGTTTCTCGTGCATTCAGGATTTCAGTTTTCTTGGTAAAACGTTTATTGACGTTTCAATTTTCACTTCGGAAATCGTTCTCAAAATACAAACACTAATGTTTGTATTTTGAGAACGATTTACAAAGTGGAAATTGAAACGTCATAAACGTATTTTTTACTTTAAGTGTGGCTTATTCACATTTAAATAGTAATAAATTACCTTCATCTAATGATAAAAGATTTATTTATTTTTACAGAAAGATCAGCCAACTTTACACAGACAAATAACTAATCTTCAAAATGATTTACGATCCGTTATATTTAACGATCAACCCACGAAACTAATAGACCCCCAGGCAGCAGATTACTCCTCTTTAACAGGTGAGGGTTTTTATGATTACCAAAATTAAAATTTACAAGTGAAGCGTTTATTTTAAAATAACACTTGTCCAAAAATTAAAATTTTGGCGAATCCAGAAAAGCTGCCCAGCTTGAATTTATTTCAAATGTTACCTTCACTAAGATAATCATGGAAAGTAATGTGAATATCAAAATAATGGTACAAGTTGTTTTTATATTTTTATTAATATTTTAAGTAAAAAAGATACAAACTCAGCAATATAAATATTGGAAAATAAACATATTATGTACTCATAGAAATAACAGAAAATTGTATCGTGTCGATTCGTCACCATTAATATTATTCTCACTAAATAATTTTGCGACTGAAGTATGTTCCTTGGTTACCTTGGATTCTGGTTTTAGATTAAAATAAAATTCTTGGTATTTAGTTAAGTCCATTAGATCTCAAAACTTTGGTTTGACTTATTTTATTTTTTACTTTATTTTGTATCAAAGTAGTGTGTTTTGGTGTTGTTTTTCCAGTTATAGTGTATAGTGTCCATAGACCGTGGTAACTTTGACGCATTAAAACTTGTCCAGGATACTGCTCAGATATTCGGTACATGCTTGCTGATTTCAATGAAATTTTTAGTTTTGGAATCCTCGAAAATAAATGTTTTAAACTTTTGTCCACGACAATCCAGTCAGTTGCTTTTTTGGAATTAGCCACTTTATATGAAATATAAAAATATAAAATAAGACTATCCTATACTTTTTAAATATCAATAACTACTTTTTTTTGCACGAGAAATGGAACTAAAGTCACTATCGCAAAGTAGGTATGAATGTCCTCCTATTGAATGTATGTGTAGTTTCTCTGATGATTATTTCAGTACGTGCACCAGGGTATATTATGAAAAGTGGATATAGAAGTAGTTTTTGTTCTGTCACGAGCAACCATCGGAGAAAAATCATATTTCATTCGATTTATCGAGTATGAATATATCATGGAAGTCACTTTATTTTGACCACGTGTAACCATTCCTTCATGATAGGTATACATATAGACATTATTGCCTCCGATGTAGTATACTTCAAACACATATTACCAAAGTCAAATTGGGTAGCAGAAGATTTGCATAAAGTTAAAGGCTAGTGCAGATACATTATTGGCATGCTGGCATTTATATTTAATTTTATGTTTGTAAAATGACTTTACTTAGCATAATAAAGATCTATTACTTGAAACAGTTCCTCCTTTGTTGATTTATCGATATTCGATAGTTTGAGTTGAATTTAAGTTTTATCACAATAATGTACAACTGTCACATCTGAGGTGAAAAAATGATATGTGAAATTGAGTTATGTTATAAAATATGTTATAATAAATGAAGTAAGAAACATTGAACTATGAATAAAGTTCTTTAAATCCTCTGTACATAATTTTTACATTTAAAACTATTGGTAGATATACTTTGTTTTTGACCAGTCTCCGTGTATAATGACTTTGGCGGCTTCTGAAGGAAGAAATGTCGGCTTTTATATTTTCTATATCAGCAGGGTGCTTCTTCTTAGGCCTATTTGTATGCTTGTCTCTACCATCCGTTAGAGAATATCCACTCATTGCTAAGCTATTTCTAATTTGACGGATCTGTATTTTAGTAACACCGAAAATACTACGAAGAGCTTTGGCACAAATGCTTACTTTTTTCCCGGAAGTCGTATTTTGTACATAAAAAAAGCTACATGTGGTCGACCTTGCTGAGGTCGAGATTGGTTTGTATTTCATTTCCACTGAGGTCCACTATCTAACCAAAAGTAGGTATTGTGATTAGGTGAAGCAGCTTATGAAATACGACTGAATCGTCTCTGGACAGGAGTAAGGCTAATGAGACTTAATAAATATGAATCCTACTTATCTTCGGTCTTCGTATTCTTAAACATATTCAGTAAGTTAGAACGTTGTTTCTGTTTCTTGGTTATTACATAGAAGCATGGGTAACGTTTATACCTACAACCCAGATTGAAGTAATAAGCATTGAGAAAACATCTCGTTATTATAGAAAAACTAATCTACAGTCAATTTCTGTTAAAAAATATCGTGCTAAAACACCTTTATTATCTTGATGTGTTTTGTGAATTTTATTTTAGCCATGTGTTTTAGCTTGCTTTATAGTTTTCCTTCGCAAAACTTATCTTTTGCGTTTTATTGGTTGATCCATAGTTTAAATTTTACAAATTCTATCGTCCATATTATAAGAGGTATTATATTGAACAGTTTTCGCCATGCTGAACTATTTATAATACTAACAAAAAATGTACACAACTGATAAATTTACGGATAAGATCATTCAATCTTAGCGATGGCCGTTGACAAAGATGGGACAAGTGTTGCTTTTACAACAAACCGCATTAACATCTGTTGTTTTTTTTAAACTATCTGAATGTTCTATGTAGTTTATTAAGGACATTTAAGTTTTTAATAAAACTGATGTGTAAGACGGAGAAACAAGCCACAATTTTATAAAAACAATAAATTAAGTTGAATTTACAAAAAATGGACATGATGTTATTTTTCTAATAAACGCTTATACATTATCTTAATATTTCAACTCTAACAACTTTAGCTATTTTCACTGCTTATAGTAGTTACAAACTGCTCTATACAAATACACTAACCCAAAAGTAGTTCTAGGTCTTAAACCTTTGATACTCCGATGCAGGTTCCTATAGAATTAGTAGCATTAAGTAAATTAAATATTCAGTTAATTAATAATAAAAATAAAAATTTAGAATAGCGTATCTTTTTTTATATTATAGCTAGTTTTAAAATGTCTGGTTTGTTAAGTGTCGACATATTTCGTCTTCAGACCCTCCTCATAGCACTTCTCGTTACTTAAAATTGTTTCTTATGCTAATCATCTTTAGTTTTTGTATATTTATATTTTATATAATATTCCATGCTTATGACTACGATGTGTAGTATGTGAACTGTGTTCCACATCATATTTGTGCATTATTTGCCAGTTGGTAATTTTAATAGTTTAATTCGTTACACACGTTACTGGTCTCTGTCTTACTTTTTGTATTTGAAGCCTACACGGCAAAAACGAAGAAGCTCACTTTTATATATACAGTGCTTTTCAGATAAAACTATCCACCTTAAATAAGTTTTGAACCTCTAATTTTTTGGGAAAACGCAAAAACACTTTAATTAATATCTGAAGGGGGAGGCATAATATCATATTTAAGGTAGCTGGAAAATACACCCTCTAACTCCCTGTATCAACCCTTTATTTTTGTTAAATTACTTGCCCCTTTTTTTATTTTATATTTGGAATCTCCTTTTTGTAATGATTTCAGAAATATATAATACATGATACTTGAGTGATTAGTTTATGAGAAAAGTAAATACAAAAGCAAGAAAATTGGATTGAAAAAAAATTATTTTTTAACAATTTTATTACACACATTTAGAACAAACATTTCACTACTAAAAGTTTTTACAACAATTGTTCAAAATAACTGCTTTTTACTTCCATACAATACTACAATCTATTTTGAAATTCTTCTCTGACATTGCTTACTTAACACGTCTGCATTTAATTGTCGACATTCATCCTCTATTCTTTGTTGTAAATCATCTAGATATTCTGGTTGAGTAGCATAATTTTTGTTTTTAAATACTCCCATAAGAAGAGGTCTAGAGGTGTTCAATCCGGTGACCTAGGTGGCCAATCGATCATCTGTCGTCTTTTACCTATCAAAGGACCGGGAAACGTTTCGTTTAAAAATTATCGCACAGGTAAATCAAAGTGTGGAGAAGCTCCATCATGTTGCAATACAATCAAATCATCGGAAAGGTTATCATCATTTGCTACTATTGTTCTAACGATCAACCACTTGCCTATATAATTCAAGATACGATGCACCATTTAAGTTTCCAGTGATAAAGAAGGGTCCGATAATGTGATTACGTAGAATACCACACCATACGTTTAACCGTTGAGGATGCTGTGTGTGAAATTCGCGTACAATATGTGGATCACTTTCAGCCCAGTATCGGCAATTATATCTGTTCACCAAACCGTTTAATGAGAATGAGCATTCATCCGAGAAGCAAATATTGTTTAACAATTGTGGATTGTTAATGATGCATTTTATTCATTAATTCGCAACATTCGGGACGACCATCAAAATCTTCTTCATTTAACTCTTGTACTAATTTAATTTTATATGGATAAAACTTAAATTTATAGAGGACTCGGAAGGCTGTAGAAGATGAAACACCGATTGCTCTGCTTATTGTTGACAGTGACTGTGATTGTTAAGAGTCTAAGTTAACTTGCCCTAAAACAGCTACTTGGATTGTTTTTTTATTTACAAGTTCCTGTCGGTTATGTTTTTTATTGCAAACGGACCCCCTTGATCTAATTTTTTCTGCATCAGTTCAATCACACACTTATGAGTTGCATGTCTATTGTGGTGTATTTTATTAAAAATTCTAGCAGCAGCTCTTGCACAATTATTATTTTTGTAGTATAAACCTACAATTTCGATTCTTTCTTGCAAAGTGTACACCATTTCAGCGATCAAATTGCACACGTATCAAAATAAGCTGTTACTTACAAGTTATAACAAATTGTCGCTATTAACCGATTAAAACAAATGTAAAAATGATATCGAAAACCTTTGATAAAACTTGAATAAAAAGTGAATTTTTTTGTTTCTTGGTTTTTAAAGGTACTACAAATAGTATGGTTAAATATTTAAAGAGTTTAAATTATGCTACAACCTATTTTGTTGGAGTAAATTAAGGTGACGGAGATATCTAGTTAACAGGAAAATTGTCTATCTGATGAACTAATCACTTCAAGCCAAAGGTATTATACATTTTTAAAATCAAAACAAAAAGGAGAATCCAAATATAAAACAAAAAAGGGGGAAGTAGTTTAAAAAAAAATAAAGGGTTGATACAGGAGGTGAGAGGGTGCATTTTCCAGCAACCTTTAATATGATATTATGGCTCCCCCTTCAGATATTAATTGACGTGTTTTTGCGTTTTTCCAAAAAATTAGAGGTTTAAAAGTTATTTAAGGTGGATAGTTTTATCTGAAAAGCACTTTATAGTGCATCACCATGTTTCTTAAACTTTCGTTTAAAGATTTCTTCTTTGTCTCTTTTTTTTTGTCTCTGCAAATCATTGTTCTTGGTTGAAATTCTTTACTGCTTTTCTTAGTTTTTAAATAGTTTTTGATTTCCGTTGGTTTATTTGATTCCGATATCTCTTGGAGTTATTTTCTACATTTTTCCTTTTTTAATGTATTCTCTTGTCTTTCCTCCATTCTGCTTTTGTTTGTGTCCTAAATGATCGGCATGCATTACTTTGCTTTTCTGAATTATTAATATATTATGCTGTCTACATATACATGTCAATGAATTTTTTCGTTTTAAGTTGTCACTTCTTTGGAACATGAAGTAGCTTACTGGAACACAATCAAGCCATCTAAAAGGGATAAAGTGACTAAAGCTGACTGTGCTACTTTTAAAGATTTACTCGCAACCATCGCTGAAGAGTTTAGGTAATATACCTGTATAAATATAAATTTATTGCAATAATATTTACTAAAATAAAGCTATTAGCTCTGGACGTTTAATAAGGTAAAACAATATTTTGTTTATTTAAACAGTAAAGTAATTTTTAATGTTTTATATCGTATTAAACCTTTTAAGAAAGGGTATTATGAAATTATGTGATTCATTTCATTCACTACAGCCCTGTTGCTTATGAAAAAATTATATGGGTTTAAAATTTAAAACAAATTATTTAAGAGCTATTTAAGAGAAACAGAAAAAAATGGATATCAGATGAAACTTGGAATCTTATCGAAGAAAGAAAACAGCAAAAAAAAGATATTTTGCAAGCAAGAACTGTAGAAGAAAGAGCAAACCGACAACAAGAATATGAAACAATAAATAAAGCAGTTAAAAGAAATGCAAGAAGAGACAAAAGAAGATGGGCTGAAGAACTGGCAAAACAAGCCGAAATAGCTGCACAACACAATAGAACTAGAGAGCTATACCAAATTACTAGACGTCTAACAAAAAGTGGGCCCAACTGTTCAAACGTCGTAAGATCCAAGACAGGAGAATTACTTACTACAACAAATGACCAAATAGAGAGATGGAAAGAGCATTTTCAGGAGATGCTAGGCACGCCCAGGGATAACGCAGATGAAATTGTCGAAAATATACAGAATATAGACTTGCGTATATCTTGCGACGCCCCTTCCAAAGCAGAGATAATAACAGCTATCAAATCTCTGAAAAATAACAAGTCTCCGGAAATCGATAACATTGCTGCCGAAATACTTAAAACTAATCCGCATCTAACTGCTGAATTTTTGCTCCCCATAATCCGAGAGGTGTGGGAAACAAACCGCATTCCAACGGGCTGGAAAAAAGGCATCATTATTAAGCTTCCAAAAAAGGGCAACCTCACACTATGCAAAAATTGGAGAGGAATAACCTTGCTTACCGCCATAAATAAAATCTTCACGACCATCATACTTAAAAGATTAACAAACAAGGTTGAATTTCGAGCTAATCAAGTAGGCTTTAGACCAGAATCCTCCTGCATAGACCACATTAATACTGTGAGGCTAATAATGGAACAATCGGTTGAATGGAACATACCCCTATACATGGTTTTTGTTGATTTCGAGCGTGCTTTTGACAGCTTATCTCATGATGCGATATGGAAAATTTTTGAGCTAAGAAACATCCCGCATAAAATAATTTCCATTATAAAGTTACTGTACACTGAAGCGAAATGCAGCGTGACACACAATGGGATCAACAGTGACGAATTTGACGTACTTACTGGAGTCAGACAGGGATGCGTGCTTTCTCCGTTTCTTTTTAACATAGCTCTAGACTATGTTCTCTCCAAACTAGACTCTGACACAAGAGGGATACAATGGACGTTAACCACTCGCCTAAGCGATCTAGAATACGCCGACGATATCTGCCTGTTAGGACAAAGGTTCCAAGATGTGGCTGACCAATTGGAAACACTTTCCACTGAAGCCAATAAAATAGGTTTGAAAATCAATATTGGTAAAACCAAATCCATGAGAATAAATGCAAGAAACAACACGCTATTCACCATTAATAACATGCAGATTGAAAATGTGGAAAACTTTACGTATCTTGGAAGTGTCATAACAGAAAGCGGAGGTACAGATGACGATATTCGTATGAGGATACGAAAAGCGCAACAAGCTTTCAGCATGCTCAACCCTATTTGGAGGTCTGGAGACTACACTATGAGGACAAAGATTCGCATATTCCAGTCAAATGTCATGTCTGTACTACTTTACGGATGTGAAACCTGGAAAGCGACAAAAACCCTTACAGACAAACTGCAGGTCTTTGTTAATAAATGTCTACGAAGAATTGTTCGTATTTTCTGGCCTAACATCATCAGAAACGAAGATTTACTATGGACGAGATAAGAAAACAAGGAAAGTCTTCTAATGAGGTGAAGGCCTTAGCGCAAAATAGAACCCGATGGCGCGTTTTCACTGAAGCTCTATGCTCCACTTAAGAGTTCAAGAACCTTATATATATATATATATATATATATATAATATATATATATATATATATATATATATTTAAGAGCTAAGATTAATACTATTCCAAAAATTAATATTAAGCCCAATAGTCTTCTAGGTTGAATCGCGTTGATTATCATATCACCGAGCGTTCAACATCCTCCCCAAGAATGTCGAAAGCTTCTTTAGGGCTTCCTAGGTCTCATTCTGTCGAGCTCCCAGGCACTACTACACTGATCACCAATCAGTTCACTACTGCCACTGGGAACAAAAGACGGTTTATTTATACCGTCGATGGTGATGTGATTTGAAGTTTCTTACTTGTCAATAGTGGGGATTGGTACGAAAATTGGCACGAGGGTTGACGCGAACATCTCTGATAGTAGGATTTTGATTTGCGGATGTAGCGGACGATATTTTCTTTAGGAGAGGTATCCATGTCGAATTTAACCGTATACCGTCATACTTACTTATCAATACTCGGGATTGGTACGGGCATTAGCGCGAGGGTTGACGCGAACATCTCTGACAGTGGGATTTAGATTCGCGAATACAGCGGACGATATTTTCTTTATCAGAGGTATCCATGTCGAAGTTAACCATATACCGTCATACTTACTTGTCAATACTCGGGATTGGTACGGGAAGAGGCGCGAGGGTTGGCGCAAACATCTCTCACAGTGGGATTTTGATTCACGGATGTGGCGAACGATGATATTTTCTTTATAAAAGGTATCCATGACAAAGTTAGCCGTATGCCGTCATTTTTGTTATTGAGACACTTTTGCCTTTTTTTATTTATATGCCGTCTCGGATAATTCCTGGATTATAGAATGTGATGGGGGCTATGGTTCTGGGGTTTTCAAAATCAATCTTGTGACCTGTATGAAGAGGATGTTACCTAGAGCTAAATTTGAATCGGAATTGGGAACAGAAATGGAATGTTCATAAATCCTATTTTGGATTCTACTATTTGTTTGGCCTATATAGGACCGGGGAGAGTCTGTACAAGGAATTTTATAAATTCCGTGTTGTTAATTTGGAATATTGTCTTTAAGACAGGTTTGAGACAGACAAACTCGGGAGACCTCGTCTTCCAGGTTTCCTTCTTCTACCTTTATACTATCTGTCCGATTAAATTATTCGACCTAATGGTTAAATACGTTTTTCCTTGTTGTTAATAGGTCGGCATTGAAACTTCTGCATTGATTTGTAGCTGTCTTGATTTCTTTTTCTCTGTTGATGTTATCTTTTTCATATAATACTTTAAATTATCCCTGTTGAAAATTAAGTTTCTTATCCTGTATCGCTCTTCTAGATCGCCGGGTCTTTCGACTTCATTTTTTTCTTTTGTTCCATGCTTGGATATATCACCAAATCATTGATTTTCATGGACAAAAGTTTCTGTTCCTACTTCTGCTATTTTCATAATTTCCTTTATTGTGGACCAGTAGGAATCTATATCTTTTTAGTCTTCTTTATTTACATGTTGTTTTCTTAGACTGTTGGTGTTTTTTTTTTAAATACCGTTCTGCAATTGCTGCATCTCTTAGATTTTGTGTATTCCATTTTTTTTATTTATTTTATTTTCTTTGCTGACGTTTGCAATTCTGGCCCCTAATGTTGAGATCACTAAGCAATGATCTGAGTATATATTTTCGTCTGTATATTATTTTGATGGTTTCATGCAGGTGGGTGAATAACTATAGGATTAGTTTCTTTATTAAAATTATGGTTAATTCTTCGTAATAATAGTAAATTATACTACAATATCGCAAAGCTTTAGAACAGCCCTTTAACTAGTTTTGGTATGAAAAATATTTCGAGTATTGATTCTATTTGCACTTTCTAGTGTGCATCGTAGTATCTGCTTAGTATGTTAAATATTAGGAAACATATAAAGAATTCTTTGAGCCATAAAAATAAAAAAATAGGGTTTTAAAATGTGCATTAAAAATTTAATAGGAAAACACAGGAAACACTAGGAAAAAAAAACGTAATATGCTAATAAATTAATTGCGATTGTTGACATCAAACAGAAGTCTAAACTCAATTCTAATTTTGTGGTAACCGGTAAAACAAAAATTTAGATAACGCATAATAAACATACAAAAAAAACTTAAATTTTAAATTTTTTTTTAATTATCAATTTATTTTCTAGCATTATTGACGCACTTTCGACAATAGACGTAGAAGATTTGCTGGAACGGTCTCACACAGTCCTTGATGATTTATGGAAAAATGACCCACCATTTCCTAAGGACAGAATCAAACACATTATGGATATAATAGGTGCCAATAATATATTTTTTATTATTTTTCTTAGATTATTCAATGCACCTGTTATATTTTATTTTTTTAGATTGCACCATATGCCGTGTAGGCCTAGGGCAGAGCTATATTTAAATCAATTTATGCTATTTTTTTTACAAAAGTACTTACAATACTTCTTACAGCACATCTTCTGTGTTCTACTTCTCCAGTCCAAACCAACTATTTCCTTCAAGTCACTCCCAACTTTTTCTATCCATATCCTCCTAGGTCTCTCTTACGTTATATTTTCTGTGAGCTTCCTGCGTAACACTATATTTGAAATACTTTCCACTGCCACAATTTGGGTATGTCCCATTCAACACTTTCTTTATGCCTTGACATATGTCGTAATTTTGGTTTCGTGCTTATTCTTCATCATTTTCCACTTTTTATTCCTTTTAAAGATACTTTTCAGCATTTTACGTTCCCATATATTTCTAGCTAGGCAAATAAATTAGTAGTATTGAACACCTGGTTTAAGCTACACCCAAGAAAACTGTACACCTGAAAATCTCCACAGGATACTGTGGGAAGGATTGTAAGAAATCAGATTGATTACATTCTAGTAAATAAGAGGTATAGGAACAGCTGCATATCTGTCAAAACATACCCGGGGGCAGACATAAATTCTGTTCATGTACCAGTTGTAGGTAATTTCAAAGTCAGAATGAAGAAGGTTACAAGTAAGTCGATGAAGAAGTATGATTTAAGAAAACTGAAAGATCCCAATGTTCGACTGAAGGTGAGTGGAAACCTCAATACCAGGGTGCTAACATGCAAAAATGCAGAAACTATAGAGGAAAGTCTGACCATCATACAAGAAACAGTGAGAGAAATAAAAGAACAACACCTGAAGAAAGAAACAGAGAAATGAAAATCGTGGATGACCGATGAAATACTTGAGCTTATGGATCAGAGAAAAAAAAACAAAGAAAATCTCCAAGAATATAAGAGAATACATACCATCGTCAGAAGAAAAATAAGAGAAGCCAAAGAGAAACAAAAAACAAAACAATGTCAAGAAATAGAAGAGCATCAGAGTCGATATGATAGCTTCAATGTTCATCGAAAGGTGAAGGACATAGCTGGAAAGTTTCGAAAAAGCAACAGCGGAAAAATAATAAATAATGATGGCAATCTTGCCATAACCAAAGAAGATAAAAAAAAGTATGGGAAGAATACTTGGGGAAACTTTTCCATGACCTTAGAAAAGTACAAGAGCCCGCCGTTGAAAAAAATTCAGGTCCCAAAATCCTACCAGAAGAAATAACGGCAGCCGTCAGACAAATAAAGGATGAAAAGACACCGGGATGTGATGAAATTCCTGCAGAACTGCTGAAGCTATTAGATACAGAACAAATAAAAATAATAACTGATATATTTAATGAAATATACAAGGCAGGAAAAATACCAGTAGAGTGGCTCAAATCGGAGTTTGTACCATTGCCCAAAAAAACAGGAGCAAAAGTTTATGAAGATTATAGGACAATAAGCCTAATGAGCCATCTGCTGAAGCTGTTTTTAAAGGTCATGTACCAAAGAATTTAAATGCGAGGAACAAATTGCGCCCAATCAGTTTGGATTTGTGAACGACGTTGGTACAAGGGAAGCTTTATTTAGCGCGCAGATCTTGTTTCAGAAATGTAGAAATGTCAGCTGTAATGTTTTTGCATGCCTGATTGACTATAAGAAGGCTTTCGATAGAGTCAGGCATGAAAAAATGATGGAAGTGCTGAAGAGGACAGGGAATGATGGAAGAGACTTAAAAATTATAGCTAATCTGTATTGGAACCAATCAGCGGTACTCCGAATAAATCGAGAATATACAGAACAGGTCAAAATCTTAAGAGGAGTGAGACAGGGGTGCATAATTTCACCACTAATATTCAATCTGTACTCGGAGCACATTTTTGAAGAGGCCCTAAAAGATATTGATGAAGGCATCTCAATAAATGAAGTCAAGCTTAATAACCTGCGGTATGCAGATGATACAATAGTGTTTTTCAATACCATAGAAGGGCTGCAAAAGTTAATAAACAAAATAACAGAAACAAGTAGAACCTATGGACTGGATATAAACACCAGCAAAACCAAGCTTATGACCATCAGCAAGCAAAACATAACTGGAGCAAATCTGTATGTGAACCAAATGAGAATTGAACGTGTCTTACAATACAATTACTTGGGAACTATAATCAGTGAGTCGTGGGACAATACCCAAGAGATTAAAAGGCCAAAAGTGCATTTTTGGCTATGAGCTCTGTGTTCAAAAGCCATGACCTCACCCAGAAAACAAAAATAAGGCTCCTTAAATGTTACGTGTACTCAGTGCTTCTGTATGGAGTAGAAACGTGGAAATTGAAGGCGGAAACTCTATCAAAACTTCAGGCGTTTGAATTAGGGTTAAATAGAAGAATCCTGAAGATACCATGGACAGACAAAGTCAACAATGAAGAAGTACTGTGGAGGATGAACACAACCGCGGGTTTGGTCAATATTGTGAAGAGCCGTAAGCTGGAGCACTTGGGACATATAATGAGAAATCAAGGCAGATACGAGCTACTTTAATGTATTTTGCAGGGTAAAATTGAAGGAAAAAGAGCCCTAGGACGAAAAAGAATATCCTGGCTTGCTAACCTGAGAGCATGGTATAGAAAGACCTCAACACAGCTATTTCGTATAGCAACCAACAAAATCATCATAGCCAGAATGATCGCCAACGTTCGGAACGGACAGGCACCCTAAGAAGATATTTCTAGCTGGTTGGTTAGTAGTTTCTAGCAATTAGCATTCTTCTTTTAGTTCCCTCGTTTTCTAGGGTGGGAATTTTTGAGAAACTTCATTCTATTTTATCTTACAGTGCCCCAATATGTGGGTTTTTTTTCAGTAAACTATTTACCAATGATAAACTGCTAGGTATACCAGACGTATGCCGTAATATTACGACTTATACTTGCGGCTCTACCAACGGAAGAGTTATTTTATTACTGGTACTGGTGTTTACAAATTTGTATTGACCTAGCTGAGTTCCCACGTAAGTTTTTAAATTAAACTTGCGCCTACGAAAGCAAACTTTGTAATGCCATATTTGGCTCGTTTTATTAAGATGTACTATTTAAACGCACAACGTTCCCTACAGACAAGCAGCTGTTCATCTTCTGTAAGGAACTCACTAGTAATAAAGTTATTTGAAAATTTACCAAAAATATTGCCAGAAGTTTTCTATTGGGTTTAAGTTTTGGGTCAAGGATTTATAGGTATTTGGCTTCATCAGTATCAGTCTATCTATTATTTATCTCATATTTTATACTGGCACTAAGTTTTTATGGACCTTTATTCCTTTTAACATAGTAAGATAGGAAAGATCGGGGTTTGTTTACTTATTTTTTCAATAATTAATTTTTACTCCTATATTTTCTGCATATTGTTAAATTCAAGTAAGTCAACTGGTTCTATACTCCTTTAGATATTATACGTACATTTTCAATTTATTCAAGTGCTGTGTAGAAAAAAGTTTCATGCAAATTTTGACTGTCTTGCCAAATAAGTCAAGTAGCCCTGGGTGCGTGTTTAGTTGACTAATGACCTAGGGTTAGCTAACTCAATATTTTCTTAGTGATAAATAAAAAAGAGGAATAATAGTGACATAATCCAAAAACAAATAAAGATTCAATTTTTCACGTTTATTTTGTCCATTGACATTAACAAAAATGTAACAATTAAAAACGAAACTCACAAATTATCAGCTGAATCACAATTGATGCATATGCTGATGATGATGGAAGAAAGTAATATTACTTTTGTTCGTGCATTTAATGTAAACTATCCGATACAATGGGTGCTTTGCACCCAGTCATCACCTCTAATGCTATTTCGATGGGGTTCTTCGATAGGGTTACTAAGCAATCAGTTTCAGCCTCAGATTCCAAGGATCTAGGGTCATGATGAGCTGCAGACGTAGATGGAATTGGGCTTTCTTCTTGGAAAAGTAATTTTTGGCTGCCTCTAACTTTTTTATGACTTTCTTTTGGTTACACGTTTTTCTTTTATGTAATTTTTTTTTCTTTCGCATTCTGCCTTTTTTTCCGTAAGAGCGTCTTTTTTAAATTTTGTCGAAGACCTACTTTTGGAAATGGCCTTATTTCTACAGGGGAAAGCAATATTGAACTTGCAGGTTTTATTTTTATCGATGCGATTGTGTTTGCAGACAAATTGTCGTTGACAATCTTCGTCTGGGAAATGTTTTAGAATTTTTGGTAGATTCACATGATTTTAGCTTACTTCACTGTTGTTATGTTTCTGTAGTTGTTTTCGGTAGAGTTTCCTTCTTTATTAATTTGCTGGTGTAGGCCTGTCTGTGACAAATGATGACAAGAAGTCACTCTGTGTAAATATACCCCCTTCAGAGGACTTATCCCTGTTTTTCTGAACCCATCCATTATATTGGTTGGCGTAGCAGCTGCAGGAAGACTTAATTTTACAGTGCCAGGAACGTTATCGTAATATGGAAAATGCCTTACCTGGATCATTTACCATCCCGTTAGCCATAGCTGAATTTTAGTATTTTCTTAGGGATCTGTAAACATTAGTAGTAATAAAATTATTTGGAAATTTACTAAAAATATTGCCAGAAGTTTTTTATTGGGTTTAAGTTTATTCATTTTTCTTCACTTTTTCTTTTCTTTACATCATCAAATCGTAACCATCTTATGAGAAATCGAAATATTTTCTCGCTTACTGTTAGGTAGCATAATAGCAATTATCCCATTTTTTATCTTATCTTTTTTTAGAAATTCTAAGAGTGCCAATGAAAAATAATATCTTGATCTCTTTGGCGATCTGCAATCGCCAATCTGGTAAGTGCTCCGGATCCTTTCAATAAGAATATTTGTCAAGACAGTGAATACTCTAATAACTGTTTCAGCCAAAAATAAATTCAGGCAATCAATTGCAGTTTCAACAATGAGTGCGTTTTCTTT